TTTTAAAAAATGTTAGTAGTATTAGTTTATTATATCTAAAGCTAATTTAAAACTTCTTAAAAAGTGTGTAATTTTTTCCGTACAAGTCTTTGATCATTAAAGCAAATGACTATTTTGCACACTCTCCTTCGTTCTTTAACGCGTTTTTACTTCCCGTGCCCGTTAATTATGGCGGGAAATTGAAGAGCAACAAAAAAAAAATTTAAACCTTTATTCCAAAATTCGAAAAAAAGAATCGAATATTTTGGCGCGAAGAGAGTCAGCCCGGGAAAAGCGGGCATTGTTGTGGCGGCTGATTTTTTTTTTTTTTTGTAATTTGGTGTGGGAGTTTGGTCCACGTCATCGTCGACGACACGTGCTTGTCTGAATTGACCGACTCGTAGATAAATGACACGTCATCTTGTAGGATCCATTATGATTTTAAATGGTTTCATGAATATCGAGACGTAGTCATTCGTCACATATGGCGATCCTTTTCTATTTAAAAAAAGAGAGAAGAAGCTCACCAAAAATGATTGCGTAAGGATGTTTACATCGAGACAAAAAAGATGTTTAAATTTGAAAAGTGCAATTTGGTTTTCTCATTTCTGTTACGTACTTAGCATTCTAGGATTTTAAAACATTTTTGGTAAATTTTAAATAAGATAAAAACAATCAGATCGATTAGTCTAGTTTAGAAAGAAAAACGTTCAAGTGATTTAAACACAAGGATAATCATGTTAAGAGATAAAAGACTAGTTTAGCAAAAAAAAAAAAGAGATAAAAGACTATTGATGATGAGTTCATTTGTGTCTTCATAAGCGACCAAGTCATCAAATACACTTCTTTAGTTTTGCGTTATAACAACGATAGTTTTGAGGAGGAGGAATGATGTTTAGTGTTTTGCTCTTTTCTAATAGCATTGATGAATGCTTGGAAGACTAGCTTTAATTTGAGAGATAGTTTTTATCGCGAGTCAATTTTTTTTTGTAGCCTCGAAGTTCGGGCCTAGACTCTAATTTCCGTGGATCTGGAGTCAGCCTTTAGTTTAGTTTCTTTGGAAATACCCTACCTCTCTTCCCAAAGAAAAATGAATTAGAGACACAATGAAACCAACTCCAAGTGCTAAAGTCGAAGCTTGCATCTATCTAAATATTGTCTTCGAACAAAGTACGTAAGTGGAATTAAATTGGCTCTTCAGGTGAAGAAGGACAATACCTCCAAGTTAAAACTACAATCAAAGAAGGACAATACCTCCAAGTTCAGCTTCAAATCTGAAGGGAAAAATTGTTTTCGTGAGGGTTGATCTCAACGTTCTTTTGGATGATAACTCTACTATCATCGATGACACTAGGATTCGTACTGTTGCTCAGACCATTAAGTACTTGCTAGGAAATGGATCTAGGGTTATTTTGTGCAGTGGTAAGAAATCTCTGTCCTCAATGCACGCAATTGCTTATGTGTTGTGATTGTAGTGTGGGAAGTTTGATCTGATTTGTGTTTTTGAATCGTTTATCTGATCGGTTTCATATGAGGATCTCTTCGCTTTCTTGTATGATTATTTATGCCGTGCGTGAACCATTTATACAAGTAGGATCGATATGCATATGTTTCGATATTCGTTTTCGTTGTTCGCGCAATTCCATTGTAATTTTGGTTTTGGGTGGATAAGTTGTCATACTCAAGTTCTAATAGCTGTCAGAACAATGATACGAAGTTATGTTCTGTCTTAGTTGTGGCGTGTTGCGTTTGTTGGTGCTCAGAAAGAATTTGCGTAGATATATATAGAAACTGTTAAGAGTTTTTGTATGATTATTTATGTCCTGTGTAAACGATTTGTATCAGTTGGGTCTCCTTGCAATTTAAGATGCATGCATGATGATATGCATAAGTTTCTATATTCATCTTTGTTGGTCGCTCTGTGTCAGTTATCATCAATGATATTAATACATATCCTATTTTGCTAGTGGCGTGTTGATTTTGTTGTTGCAAGTAAAAAAACCTAAGAAACAAAAAAAAATTAGCTAATGAAATGTTTCAAAAAAAAGACAAAGAAGATGTTCATGTGATTTAAAACAATGATAATCATTGCAATGATTATGAGTTCATTTGCACTCATAATCATTGCAATTGTAAGGGATAAAAGACGAGTGATGATGAGTTCATTTGCACTTTCATAAGCGGATCAAGTCATCAAATACACTTATTTAGTTTTGCGTTATAACCGTCGATAGTATTGAAGAGGAGGAATGGTGTTTAACGTTTTGCTCTTTCCTAATAGCATTGATGAATACTTGGAAGACTAACTTTAATATGAGAAACACATTTTTCTATCGCGAGTCGGATCTTGCATCGATCTAATATTGTCTTCGAATAGAGTAGGTGGAATTAAATTGGTTTAAGGAGGACAATACCTCCAAGTTAAAAACTACAATAAACAAAAAAAATGTTGCCGAAAATCTATCATGATTATTGCACAATAAAACATATTTGTATCTTCGACCCAAAAAAAAAAATATTTGTATCAAATGAAGCCCAAAAATATTCCCATCCAGAAAACTTCACAAGCTTACACATAATGAATGGTTGACAAACTTCATAAAACCGAAAAAAGTGTATGAAATGAAGCCCAAAAAAAAAAAAAAATCAAATACTTATATTTATTGGTTTAAACTTACCTTTTTTAAGGGCCCAAAAGCCCAATATAGCAATTCCAGTTTCCTTAATCCTTCCCAAAAGCTGTCCTAATGGGTTGTGTAACTTGTAAGATTAACGAAACTGAAATTGCAAAATTCCTAATCCCAAATTTGAGTATACGTATTTGCAAGATTATTATATAAACACAAACGAAATCCCACGTTACTTAATCTTGCAAGTCCAGTTTCCTTAAACTTGTATAACTCTATTGCAAGATAATAAACATGCTGAAATTCTTTTCCTTCTGCATATTCAACACAACTTTACAATTTTTCAAAAGATCTCAAGACAATAATTTAAACACAAATGTACAAATCAACCCCCTGATCTATATACATCATTGGATTTATAATTTTTATTCATAGTATATATTCAATTAGACATATATATACTTCACACTAGAACAGTTTATTTTTGGTGTGTGGCATAAAATGCTTTTCTTATTCAAACACTAGTTACCGAGGAAGATCTGATTCAACAGAAACAACTTCAATTAACTTACTCGAAGCCCATTTCATTGCATCCTCTGAAATCTTGTTACCTTCAACCACAATCTTCTTCAAACATTGTGACTTCAGAACAAAAGCTTCAACTTCATCAGCCCGAATCAATCGACAACTTACGATGTCTAAATTCCTCAGCTTCACACAGCTTTTGTTCAAAGAAACCAGCACCGAACCTGTCAAACTCTTACATCCTCTTACATTCAGCTCAACCAAACCATTGCAAGAAGCTAACATCGAAACGAGTTCTTTATCAGATAACCACTCGTTAAACGGTAATTCCAGCTTCCTTAACCTCTCAAAATGCTGACCTAATGTAGCCAACAAACCGGGTTCTCTCTCAACCGCATCGCAGCTAAGCAAAGAAAGCTCTTCAAGAGTCGAACTAAAGCTTAAAGCTAATACCTTTAGACTAAAACCAGTCACAAAGTAACAACTTGTAAGCCTAAGAGTAGACAAAGCTCTGAAATTAGCAGCGAGAGAGACGATATGCTCGTCGAGTAAATCCATCGGTAAACGCAAATCGAGTTTCTTCAAAGTATCATTGCATTTAGAATTGTTCATGAAATGAACCAATCCATCTTTGTTCCCACCATCATAGATCAACAGAGACTTGAGAGATTCACAAATCTCTGAAACTTTGAACAGAACCACATCAACTATACTCCTACATGTCCTTAACTCAACTTCTTCAACGTTCTTCAAACACACACCGAAATACTCTGTTTCTTCTCCAATGGTTCCACATGATTTCAAAGACAGTTTCTTTACCTTTCTGCAACTCTTCCATAACCAGGTAACTCCGGTATCGTCTGATTGGATTCCGGTTAACGAAATCGACTCCAAACCCAATTCGACAACTTCCTGGTTAGGATTAGGGTTAGGGTTTGACCCGGAAGAGCAAACATCGATTGATAATTCCTTGAGAGATGGAAACCAAGAAACCCAATAGAAAGAAACTGGTCTCAAGAACTTGATAGAGAGAGAAGTGAGAGATAAAGAAGTAGAGAGAGAAAGTAAAGAAGATGGAGAAACAGGGCCGATTAAAAATGTGAAATTTCTGAGATTGAAGCAGCAAGAAGACACGATCGAGATGAGAGAATTGTTGAACTCATCAGAAACAGAGGAAATTGGGATTTTGGGGTCAAATAGAGAGAGGGAAGAGAGAGAAGGATGGTTATGAAGGATAGAGGGTAAAAGGGTAATTACAGAGTCGTCTTGAGGATTGATTCGTAAAGACATGGAAGTCTTTGAAGCTCTGTAGAGACGAAGCCATCGTTTGGAGACAAGAGGAACTGTTTCGAAACAAGGTAACGAAGAAGACGATGGCAATCTTGTAAATATCTCGGTGAGAAGATCATCGAGTATGATTTCTTCCATTTTTCTTTGGATGAATCTGTAAAATCGAATTGAGAACAGAGACGACGAAGAAGAAAGGAAGAATCTTTGAAGAGGGTATTTTTGTGTTGTTGGTGGCTTTTGACACTTGTGTTTGATTCTTGGCTCACGCAAGAGACACGAAGGAATTGATAAAATTAAGTTTTTTTTTTTGGTAGGATTGATAAAATTAAGTTGTGCTGTCGTATGAAATTCTCACTCACATATTATAGCATTTAAATGTTAATTTTAAATAATAAAAACTATACGTTGACGAAAAGATAATAACATTTTGTATCTAACGTAAAGTTTTTGATTGTGTAAGTCACCAATAAAAAGCCCTGATTTAGGGTGGTCTAATTATGTTCTAAAGTATTTTCCAAATGTTTTTTTGTCGACGAATTTGCAAATTTGATTTAATAATAGTAATAAAAACATCGACATTAACATAAATTATTAAATACATAGTTGAATTTTTACTTTATCCAGGCATAATTCGGATGTAGAAGTATCAACTAACTTCTCGTCTTTGTCAACCACTCGATCAAAAAGGTTTTTCACATTTTAGTTTACTTTCATAATTAAATTAAATTAATAGCAAAGATTTTGTTTATTTACGGCAAAAATAATTTCGTTGATATCAAAACAAGTTTACAAAGATATAAATTTCGGAAGCAAATTGTTACATAAAAAAGGGGGATTTTGAAAAATACCCTATTTATGTTATTAAATTTGAAAAGTACACTTTTTATTTTATTTTTTGAAAACTACCTCTTTTTATATACAAAAAAACTTTTTAATCCTAATTTAAATTTTAAGTA